ACAACAACAACAACAACAACAACAACAACAACAACAACAACAACAACATTCAACAACAACAACAACAACTACAACAACAACTACAACAACAACAACAACAACAACTACAACAACAACAACTACAACAACGACTACAACAACAACAACAACGACGACGACGACAACTACTACTACTACTACAACAACAACTACAACAACAACAACAACAACAACAACAACAACAACTACAACAACAACAACAACAACAACAACTACAACTACAACAACAACTACAACTACAACAACAACTACAACTACAACTACAACAACAACGACGACGACGACGACGACAACGACAACAACAACGACAACAACAACAACAACAACAACAACAACAACAACAACAACAACAACAACAACAACAACAACAACAACTACAACTACTACAACGACGACGACGACGACGACGACTACAACAACAACGACAACAACAACGACGACAACAACGACGACAACAGCGACAACAACGACGACGAGAAGGACAACAACGACTACTACTACTACTACTACTACTACTACTACTACTACTACTACTACTACTACTACTACTACTACTACTACTACTACTACTACTACTACTACTACTACTACTACTACTACTACTACTACTACTACTACTACTACTACTACTACTACTACTACTACTACTACTACTACTACTACTACTACTACTACTACTACTACTACAACAACAACAATCGTCTAATGCTATCCCTGTTTCGTGCTTTTGCGCTTATTGCACATTTGTCTCATTTCATGTGTTCCTTGCATCAACCTGGCATGACTGCCCAAAGTAACAACTCGAAACACAAGTCCGAAAAAACAAGTCACACAAAGGGAGACGGCCAACAGCCCATAAGCCATGAACACAAGATGCAAGAGAGCGGTAACGGAGCACTGGCATGTGCGTCAACAACAATGTGGTCACACGCACCGACATCAAAACAGGCACAGTTGGGACAATGCAATGGACAGAAAACAGCAGTCGGGTTGGATAAGAAAGAGCAAGCAGGTATCATTGGGTTCGTGCAAACGTAAGAGAGTGAAAATGAACAAGGAACGCGCACCTCCAAAGCTGCACGCGTGCACGAGGGCAGCATGCGCATGTCAACAATGAAGCGGGGAGGCAATCCATCATCAGCAAAAGCGCATCATTGATGGCAGTGAATGAACATACAAGACACACACACACACACACACACAAAAGCCCCGATGTTATGAGTTGTTTGATTCATGGTGCTCATCACCCTTCGGTTCACTCGTCATCAGAGTGAGTGCCGCCTTCGGCATTGTCGCCGTCTCCGGCGGTCTTGACTTCCATGGCAGAGGGCTCAGCGTACAGGTCCTCGTCCTCGTTATCTTGACTGTTGCCGTCACCACTGATGCCATTCTGCTCGTTGGGATCAACCGTGAGATAGCCACCGCCTTCCGCTGCTCAAAATGCATGTTGTCATCAACAAAGGACAAGAGAGCATGGTAACGTGTGAGCTTCAATTGGGAGAACAGCATTTCAACAGAGGGTTAACGGACAATGACGCAACAGCGCACCAGCTCCGCGACGAGCATGCAGGCATACAACACAGCACATTTGATCACGTGCACAAGCAATCGCCATGCACTCACGTTCATCGTAGAGCTCTTGATCCTCGTACAACGCTGAAGTGTGAAACGAGGGGTGTGCGAGTGAAAAGGCATAAGGCCGATGAGTGGCATCATCAGATGAACCAGCAAAACACCAAGCAACACGCACAGCGCACGTAACCATGACACAAACACACACACACACGCACACACACAACCAACAAAACTCACGCTCCATGTCGGCGTCGTTGACCGGTTTCTTCGCCGGCTGCTGCTGCTGCTGCTGCTGCGCCCACGGCTTTGGCTCGTTCATCATGTACGCTGGGTTGGAGATGACCATGTCTCGGCCGTGGATGGAGCCGGAGCGATACGACGACAATGTTGAGCCCTGTTGGCCCTCGAGCTTATCCCCACCGCTGACAGCCTTTGCGTTCTTGCGGCGAAGCAGCGCGACGCCAATCATGATGAGGGCGAGGGCGATGACGGCGCCAACAGCAACAGCGACGTAAATCAGCGTGCTCGAGTCAGCAGTGCTGTCTGTGCCAGATTGGGAGGCAGACGGGTCGCGTGTTGTTGGGCTCTTGGTCGTGCCACTGCCACCACCGCCCGGCAGCACGCACCGGCCGTTCTTCAGCTCCTCGCCATCGAAGCAGGCCGTGCACTGTGTCGGCAGAGTGCCAGAGCACGACTTGCACGAGGTGTCGCACGCCTTGCATTCGCGTGCACCCAGCGTCGTGGTGGATGCAAAGTACTGGTCCGGGCAGGCGTCCACGCACTGGTCGCCGGTTGGCAGGAGCAGCTTGGTGCCAGCGCACTGCATGCAGCGATCGGCATTGCACTCGGCGCAACCAGTGGTGCATGGCACGCATGTGCCCAAGTCAGCGTCAGCGTAGGAACCGGAGGGGCAGCTGCTCGCGTCCACACAGGCGCCGTTATGACGGAAGAAGCCACGACGGCACGTGACACACACGTCAGCACTCGTACAGATGTCGCACGTGGCAGGGCATGTCAAGCACTGGCCGCTCTCCTTGTATGTGGAGGCGGGGCACGATGGCACGCAGCGTCCAAGGTACACGCTGTAGCTGCCGTGGCACGTCAGGCACTCGTCAGCTGCCTCGCCAGCACACGTGGCGCAGCTCGGGTGGCATGGAACGCTGGTCGTGACGATTGTGGAGGATGAGGTGTGTGGTGTGTGGTGCGTGAGCATCAAGGTTGCGCGTACCGCAAGTGTAGCAAGCGTTGGGATACAAGCACGCAGGGAATAGCAGGCGCAGTGAAGCAAAGCAGGAGGACGCAAGGGTGTGGTGCACGCTCTGTGTTTGCTGTTGACAACTCACGTCGTTGTTGGCAGAGTAGTCGTTGTTGTGGTTGTGGTGGTCGTGGTCGTCGTCCTGCTCAATGGTGAATGCCAATACACACACACGCGCATGAAATTGAGTGAGGAAACTTTGACAGCAGACGCTGTTAACCATGCAACACGCTCAAACAAGACAACCACACAACCACACACACAACCACACATGCACGCACACATGCACAATCCACACATACGTGGTGAATGGGACGCAGACGGTGTCGGAGAAGAGGGTGCAGTTTGCGACGTGGCTCTCGACCGAGAGGTCGCACGTGGAGCAGGCGGAGCACTCGATATCGGACGACGCCGTGCAGGGCGACGAAATCCACTCGTCCTCGCCACAGGTTGTGCTGCATGCGGCGCACATCGTGTCGCTGGTGCGCGTGCAGGCGGCCGTCTCGTACATGCCAGAGCCGCACGACGAGCAGGGGCCGCACTGGCGGTCCATCGTTCCCATGGGTGGTGCTGTCTCGTACTCGTCATCTGCGCACACGGTGGCCGCTGTCATGACCGACTGCGGAGAGCTGGCATCGCCATCACCGCCATCGTTGTACGCAATCACGGAGACGCGGTAGGTGGTGACGGGGTTGAGACCGCCAACGATGTACCAGGTGGTGAGGCCGGCATCGAATGGTGGCAGGAGGCTGATGCCCTGCTCGATGGACAGGCGGTACCCGCGCACCTCGCCGAGACGATGCTCAGCCATGACAGGAGACCACGTCACGCGCACGTGCGTGCTGTTGACGGCCATGGCCTGTTAGAGAGAGTGTGTGTGTGCACGTGTATGTGCGCGTGTGTATGTATGCACGTGTATGTGAACGGGCGTTGGTGAGTACAGTGGGCCAATGAGATGAGCACCTGGCAAAGACAGCCATCACACACACACACGCACACACACACGCGCGCGCACACACACACACACACACACACACACACATTCAATGACGCACCACCACTGTCTGCGGGGCGCTTGGAGGAACAACGGCTGTGGCGTGCTCGTATTGGGCAGTGAGACCAAGGCCATCGTCGGTGTCGGCCTGAACGCGGACGGTGTAGGATGTGGAGTGCTCCAGGCCAGAGAGGGTGAAGGTGTGTTGGCGTGCATTGGTAGACACGGCGTAGTCCATGACATCGCTGAAATCATCATCCTGTGGAGCAAAGAAGGACATGAGAGAAGTAAAGAACACGCATGTGAAGCTTGGTGAGTGGACAAGAAGCACCATCTGAGGGAAGCAACCGACACACAAATGCAAGTGCACACACGTTCACATTCACACACGCGTACACAGCATACGCGCACGTAACTCACCCCCTCTGCCTTGTATTGGAGGTGGAAGGCAGTGAGTGGGCTGGTCCAAGTGGCCTTGAGTCGCAGCTCTGTCTCTGCTGCGGATTGAAGCGTTATGACAGGTGCAGCCACGTTGGCCGGGACAGTCTCCACCGTCGTCTGGCGTGCTGGACCATCACCTGCGCCCGTCAGCGCAACAACCCTGACGGTGTACGTCGTGCCCTGCAAGGAGAGAAACCCAAGGAGGAGAATGTGTGCGTGTGTGTGTGTGTGTCAGTGACATGCTGTCCACTAAGGGTGCTTGCAAGATGACACACACACACACACACAAACACACACACACATGCGCAAATACACACACATACGCAAATACACACACATACGCACACACAACGAACCGAGAGGACGTCGAGGCTGAAGTTGGCGTAGGACGTGGTGAAATCACTCGTGCCATCAACGGCGGGCGTGAATGTGATGCGATACTGGAGCGCTCCGTTTGCCGGCGATGGCGGCGTCCACAGCACCTTCACCACGTCGCCAACCTCTTGTGCAATGAGGGAGCCCACAGCACCTGGCGTCGCTTCGGCGGTGCGGAACGTGTAGGGAGCAGACGTCGGCGAAGACACGCCAGTCGTGGTGATGACCACGGCCTCCACGCTGTACACCGTGTACGGGTCGAGCCCAGACAGCGCCTGGCTGGCGTTGAAGCCATCAGCAGCAGAGAACACGAGCCATGCCGGTGTTGCGCCGGTGATGGGGTGGCGGTTGGAGTCCTCGACGGCCGTGACGGTCACGTTGATGGTGGCAATGGTGTTGCCGTTCAGCTCAACTGACAAAGGAGGTTTCACCCACACGTTGGCAGATGTGGTGGTGACGTCTGATGTCCACACGGACGGGCCAGCGCACACCTGCGAACCACCGCTCGTCATGTGCAGCGCTGGTGTAGAGTACACGCCCTCGCCAGCAGCAGTGCGGGCTGCAACCTGGAATTGATATGGATACACGGCTGTGTCCTGCAGCTCCACCACCGTGTATGTCTCGACACGCGGTGTGTCGATGTAGACAACGTCAACACTGGCAGGGTGGCGTGTGCAGTCGGTCCTTGGTCCCTGACGCACAGAAATGGTGTAGCCAATGAGGATGCCATCAGCCTCGAGTGGGCTGATTGGGTCCCAGCTGAGCGTGACAGTCTCGGTTGTTGTGCTGTCCACCTGCACGTTCGTGGGTGCAACGGGTGGTGTTCCCTCTGCTGTTCGAGCAATCGACGCATCGCTGTACGGACCCAGGCCATCAATGGTGGAGGCAGCCACCTTGACCTGTTGTTGTGGTTGTGCGTGTGTATGTGTGCGTGTGTACGTGAGTGTGTGTGTGAGAGTGAGTGTGGTGGTACAAACCCGGTCAATATTGACAGAGAGCAAGTTGAGCAAACGATGCCAACAACAACATGGTCATACACACGCACACAAACCTGATAGTATGTGTACGCGTCGAGATCTGTGAGGTTGAAGTTGGTGAGGTCTTTGCCCGTGACAATGGTCCAGGGTGTGCCCGCTGGCTGGCGCATGCTGTTCAGGCGCTGCACCCACAGCTTGTACGATGAGATGGTGCCGTGGCGCTCGCCAAACAGCGGCTGCTTCCACGTGATGTGCAGAATTGTCGTTGCTGCCGCTCGCGCCACCACATCCTGGGGTGGACCTAAAGGTTGAGGAGGGAAAGAAAGGGGAGGGGGGTTGTAAGCGAGTGAGGGCCCTGTGTGAGTGAAGCTGAGTACAAGCAAGCATGC